TTGTATTTTCCAACACCGATACGGATTATTGTGTATTAAATAAAGAAATAATCACGAGTAAAATAAGAAAAAAGGATCAAATGTGATTTATTAACCTTTAGGAATTATAATACTGAGTAATGTTTAAATTTATATCAAAGTGACTCTAAGGAAAAACCTTTCAAACAAATAGTTGTGGACAACAATGTAACTAAATTCATTATGAATACACTTTATAGCCACTGATGTATTTTTAAACATAATTATAGTCAGTAAAAATTCACAAGTCATATTTTTATCCACTATTATTATTTTGGTCATATATTAGGAATTATTTATTTATGTAATACGAAATAATCCGTATCGAGGTTGGAAAAAGGAAGGTTGTTTAATAAACCATCATATTTTTTTTAAATTTTACATATGCAATATTGGTGTCATATGAAAGATCGTAAAAAAAATATGAATTTTGATATATTTTTTTTATAAAAATTAGAGAAACAATGAAAAATTTACAACACTTCGAACAAAATGGTTTTTTGTACAATGGGCTCCATTAATTAATGGATCACGATCCTTTGCCGTACGATAGAGTGGCTTGCAGCATCGAACGGCAGGAGGGCGATGAAGACAATCTCAAGATCGACGAAAGTGTGTGCCCCAAGGTCTTCCATCCTTGAATTTTCTATCGGATGATTATGAAGAAGCAAGTCACTCTACCTTGCTCTAAAGCAAGGATTCTTAATTGATGACACACTTTTTTTAATACAAATGGTTACCTTGAATTGCATTCTGTATTAGTCCATGAGTTGGCCACGTGACATTTGTAGAGTAAACGAGTGAATTGTGAAGAGAAGAACAAGTGAGGTTTTTAGAGGATAAAAATGCATTTTCATAAGTTTATTGTTTTCTTATATATAAAGAATAGAGAAAAGCTAAGTAGCACGGAAACGCGAAACGGGAAACGCGAAACGGGAAACGCGAGAAACGTAATTTCTAAAAAATATAGGATACGAAACATGGGGGAAACGCGTAAATATTATAAAATATAAGGATATATTTATAAATATTTTTTAATATATGTACACAAGTTTTTCCATATGCACATGTTTTTTTCATATAATTTGTTTAGTAACCAAATAATAAAATCACTCTACATGTTCGAATTTAGATATTATTTCATAATAGTACATAATTAAACATAAAATGTACGGAGTAATACATTTCTAGTAATACATTGCGTTACGAAATGTAACAAGTGTTGCTGCTGAGAAATATCACAAAAATTCACTATTAAAAAAAATTATTTTCCACCACAGAATCTTTAAAAAAGAAAAAAAATTGGAATCCGAGGTTCCCGAAACGTAGTGAAACGGGTTTCCAAATTTTTCTTAATTACGGAAACGTCCCCGAAACGGGAATTTGAAGTTTCCGAGTTTCCGAAACGCTTCCGAGTTTCCGAAACGTGGAAACGTAAGCCGTGGAGAGTTTCCGTGTTTCATAGGAGAAAAGATGCTAAAGGAAGAACATATATATATATATATATATATATATATATATATATATATATATATATATATATATAGCTCTTCTCATATTCAATCGGGAATATGATGAAATTTTTTGATGAAATTTTTTGAGCACCTTCCCGGTGGAATTTTTTTGATGAAAATTTTTGAGCATGTTCCTCATCAAGTCTAGTTTGTCCATACCAAATTTCAGCTCAAAATTCAATCGGGAAGGTCGTCAAATCATTTTTGCAAGTTAACTGGTCCGGAATATGTATTTTCCGGACCAGTTAACTTGCAAAAATCATTTGACAACCTTCCCGATCGAATTTTGAGCTGAAATTTGGTATGGACAAACTAGACTTGACGAGGAACATGCTCAAAAAATTTCATCAAAAAATTCCACCGGGAAGGTGCCCAAACGGGCTCGGCCGGACGGGGCAGCCCGTCAGGCCGGCCTGACATGAAGAGCACTCTATATATATATATATATATATATATATATATATATATATATATATATATATATATATATAGAGTTTTCTTCTTGTCCGGTAGGTTCGTAGAAGTAAAAAACGAACCAAACAAATCTCACCCATTAGATATAAACGAAAGCAGTGTAGGGCTCAGATTTAATTTAAATGTCAAAACCAGAGTTTCATATATACACCACGCTAGGCTTTTCTAGAATACAACCTCCTAATAGAAAGTGTTATTCACACTCTGCACATGTGAAAGCTCCTATTCTTCATTGCCGAACTCATACAATCGGAATACTTCGTCGTTGAGAACCACCTCCTACCGGACCACAAACTGACAAACCTCTATTCTTCACTGTCTACCATCAGAGTACCACCTCATGGACGTACACGCTTAAAAGTACTGGTCAAACTTCTTTCGTATTACCTCAATTAAATTTAGTCAGTATTGTTTCTTTCCATTACTTCATATTTCAGCTCAATTATTTTACTTGAATTTATCTATGAAATCTTCTCATGTGTGATATTTCTTAATTTAACCTAGACCTGTATATATAACTATATGTGTATCAAACGGTATACAGGTGAAAAAAAAGTTCCATACAGTATTTTTTAGTAAGAATATACTCTGTATTTTGCTTAAACACACGAATATTGGTCAATGGTATTTCTTAATTTTTTTTTATTTATTTTTCAGAGTGCAGCTTAGTATGTTATGGAAGAATCAAATCCTGAAAACACAACTGATATTATACCTAGTGTTTGCTGTGATAAAAAACCACAAGTTGGTATGATATTTGAACATATCGATGATGCTTATGACTTCTACAACGCTTATGCTAAAGAAGCTGGGTTTAGTGTTCGTATGGAATCTGTCAAAAAGGACAAACAAGGGATCGTAAAGTCAAGAATATATACATGTAATAAACAGGGCTTTGAAAGAAAACCAATGCATAATATAGAAAATGAAAGGTGTAGCACTAGTACGCGTACGGGCTGTCAAGCAATGCTTGGTGTCGGGAGAATAAAAAAGGTTGGAGTCTTTCAGATATATCGATTTGAGGAAGCTCATAATCACTTGTGTGTAACACCAAGCAAGGTGCATCTGTTAAAGTCCCATCGTAAAGTTTCTGAAGCAAAGAAGAAGCTATTTTCTACCCTCCAGTCCAATAATATTTCCATCCCTCAAGCAATGGGTATATTCACTTCAGAATCTACTGGAGCCCGACCATGCAAGACACAAGGGGTGTGGTAAACGTTTAAAGTCAAGTTTAGAAAAATCTTCAGCTCTTAACCGTGTTTGCAGTGTTTGTAAGGGGTCTGGTCACGACAAACGCAATTGTCCAAAACAGGCAAAAGGAAATTAAGTAATTTGTAGTTGTGTTTTTTTAGAACTTTGTCATTTGAACATGATTAGTTCATGTACTTGTACTTCTATCAGAACTTTGTCATTTTGATGTTGTTAAACATGTTTTTATTATGAATTCTGAATCTTTTGGTCATTTGGTTTGACTACTTAGTATTAAACATGTTGTGGCAATTGTCATTTTGGCCATTTTGTTCGTTCTGCTTGGTTTATGCTTGGCCAGGTCGTTTTTGCATAAGGTAATTCATAGGCAGTGCTTGCTTCAGATTCTGTTTATGTTATTGCAGCAGGCATAATTTTTCTGTAGGCAGCCCTTTTCAAAGCTACATTCTAACTCTTCCTCTATAAACATCTCTTGAAAAACTCAAATAACACAAAAAGGGTGTCTTTCATTTTCCAGAAAGTTGGAACTCAAACACAAAGTTAGAATTACAAACTACATTGGCATTACACACACTCTTCCATCATAAACCATTATTCAAATCTGAATTTTTACACTAACCCCGCAAACTAAAAAGCCTCAAAAGCTACCAAATAGCTATGTTATTTGGTTATACACCACTAGCTGCAAAACCAAGCTTCCAAGCAACTGCTATTATCACTCAGAAAAACAGACCACTGCTAATATTTCTTGTAGCAAACGACCTCTCATTTGCTTCATCTGTTAGATCTTTCTCTTATGGAATGAGTACACTTCTCTCGACCAACTAGAACATTGTAGCAAATCTTCATTTTTTTCTAATTTAGTAACCTTTCTCAGTAAACCGGATCAAACCATTGCATATACCCACGTGTGATGTTGCCCTGTTAATACACAGAATAGGCATTTATTAAAAAACAGAATTTCAATTACCAATCTACGGACAGGTAAAAATAAATTTGATACACGGTAGGATGAAACTTACATTACCTGGACAGACCGAAAATCAGCCGACCTGGGTTTGCAATTTGACAGTAGGTTAGTTTGAAAATTAAGACTAGGCTAATATTCAGATGAATTTTACATTTCAGGGGAAGCTATAATTTTAGAAAATAAGCTTGACAATTCATCTCAAACACAGGAAAAAAAAGTTTCATACTTTGGACACAATTTAAATACAATTAAAACTAGCCCGCAACAAATGAAAAAGTTCTAAATTGTAGAACTTTAAAAAGTTGGGTGAAATCAGAGATCGTAGAAACATTTTGAAGGAAAATCGAAAAAAACCAAAAAAATATAGAGAGATTAACGGACGCTTGTGGCCGGGAGGAAGGTTGTGTCGAGGTTCCTACCTGGGAGATTACAGAGAGAAGAGAAGTGTACTCCAGAATCGACGAGCGCGTGGTGTATATAAAAGTCTGATTTTGACATTTAAATTAAATCTGAGCCCTACACTACTTTCGTTTATATCTAATGGGTGAGATTTGTTTGGTTCGTTTTTTACTTCTACGAACCTACCGGACTAGAAGAAAACTCTATATATATATATATATATTTGTGTATAAAACTTTGAATTACATAATATAAAACTTTGAATTACATAATAATACACGAAACAGATCTACAAACAGAAGTATCTTCTGTATCTTCACATGATAGCGTGAAAACTTGATTTATTACCATTTACCAATGAAAGAGTAATTAAGTGCGTATTAACGAATATTAGAAAAAGAAAGTTTGGTTGAAAATAGTGGTCGAGATTAACCTGGTTTAGATCGAGGTCTTCAAAATGCCGTCTTTTTAACACGCAATTTCAATCTCAGCTCAATTAGATTCGCGAAACATTTTTTCAGCTCAAATGCAAGTTCGTTTGCTTGTTTGCGAATTACTGCGGAGTATTATATTATCGCGAGGTTTTCTATTTCATCTGCCGTAGGTTTTGATGTTCTGAGCTCTGTATAGAGCTTCAGATTATGAGTATACATATTTCTTCTCCTTAAAAAGGATGCCCGGAATACCATTGACGCCCCGCGGAGCTTCGTAAGCTTTTCTTCTGATATTGTTATCATGATTATTATTATATGATTTTTCTTTTTTCTTAGTGGTTAATTTTTGTTATTAAAGCTGGAGCATTCATGTTTATGTTTAACCGTGATTATGTTATTAGGAACCATAATGCATTTATGCGGATGGCATGTGATTTTCGGCTAAATTTATGAGAGATGAGTTTTGTTTGCAATTGCAGTCACTCAGGGGCTGCTGATCAGATGTGCCGTCACGACTCCCACGGGCACTTGTCTGCAGAGGAGGAAATCGCAGCTGAAGAAAGTCTTACGATATACTGTAAACCTGTTGAACTGTACAACATTCTTCAACGTCGAGCTGCTAAAAATGTATGTTCTTTTTATATGCTATGTATATATTCATAAAGTAGGCATTTTTTCAATGGCACATTATGCTCACCTCCATGAACTGGAAAGTTAGATTTTTTTTGTAGCTGTTGGCCATAAAACAGACCCTATGTTTATCAGAACTCAGAAGGTTGTTATTACTTACTATTGAATAGGAGTATGATTCATCATTCTAACTAAAGATGGGCTTTTATGCAGCCGTCTTTCCTACAAAGATGTTTGCGGTACAAACTCCAAGCAAAACATAGAAAAAGGTAACACTATGTATCATTTTAGATGGTAATATTGCCGTTGTTTTGGAACTTATTATAAATCCATCTATGGGAATCAGAATCATTTCGGTAAGGTTAGATGGTTTGAACCTTCATAAGTGTAAAACTAGTACATAGTATATCATAGAAAACAAGTTGCCAGCATCATCTATATATTTATTCTATCAGGCTAGAAGGTATGCTATGAAGAATAGACCGGGGTGCAGGTACAAATACAGGAACAACATTTTCTAAAATATGAGACACACCTATGAAGGGGACACAATAACTTACATACAGACATACATATCTATAAAATGCCAATACTAATTACCATAATAGTAATACGTATGCCTTAGCTGCTTTTATATTTGGAATAAGAGATTACTATATGAGAAATAAAGGAGAGGTAGATTTAGGATTTTGTTTTTGACACTTTAGTGCCATGTTTTAGGGTTACTCTTTAAAAGACCCCCTCTGTGCCCACTGTATCCCCATATTAGATAAAAAGGGACAAGTTTTAGGTGTTTTCGGCTCACTCACTTCACTTTTTGTAGAAGTGTACGTGCTTCATAGGCTATGTTATCAACTCAGTGAGGATAAATTAGTAGAAGGAAACATAGATTATTATTATTTCATATTTACTATGTAATGTTAGATTAGTACAAATTATATGGACTACAAAGTGCATTTTGTAGCGGTGGTATAGTACGTAGTATATGAAAACAAAACACACTTTTTAATATTTCATGTCATTCATAAATGTCAATATGCATGATTACAAAACGAACATCCTATGGTAATTTACAATCAAACCACTTTTTGATGTTATTGGCTGATATTTTAGTGATATCCACATTCTTGTATTATAGATTACTATATCTTACTCTGGAACTTTTACTTGCGTTTCTAGGATACAAATGACAATTTCTCTTCCCGCAACTTTAAATAGCGGTTCACAGATTCAAAGTATGTTTCCTTTGTGTATATTGTTGGCTAGGCAAGTTCCAATTCCTGTAGCTTCTGAGGTATTTGCGCTCAACTACAAACTGTATCTTATCAGTATTTAAATAATATTGCTTCATTTAATTATGCAACTTGCTTGCAGTACTCTGCCGTCTATTGCTTTAAGCGCGCATGCATGTTAACCTCTTGCTCCGGAGTTGACAAGATGAATCAGGCATATGCAAAATTTGTACTCCCTGAATTGAATAAGCTATCCGTAGAGATTGAGGCGGCCTCTCTTGTAATTCTTTTTATTAGCTGTGGTATGCCATATTTACACCTTTTTCCTGGCACTGATGATGTTTGGTGGAAGATTTAGATCTTTTTCTGTTGTTTCCCTTTTTGCAGCTGAGATAGCCAAGGACCATATGGATATGTCATATTTTCCTTGTAAGTTGTCCACATGTTAACATAATCTTTCGGTTGTTGCATAAGTTGTAACGTTAGATTCAAATGATGAGATTGGTGCTGATGATTAAGGCTTATATTATATTTAGCTTCAGAAAAAAAAAAGCATCAGACATACCTGTAGAAAGGAGTGGACTGATTGCAACTTTCCAAGGTTAATCAATTAAGTTGTTGAGCCTTGGACGTGATAAATGCCGTCCCTCTCTTGAACTTTGCATTAGTTTTTGCCTAATAATCTCTAAAATTATTCCTTTAATTCCTCATGTGTTAGCAAATGTTGAAGGGCTTCATTTTTCCTTTTCGTCAATTTTGCCTCATCTTTTGTCCAAGTATCTCTCCAAGTTTTCATGCAATTCATTTCCCTAATTTAATTCTTCAAGCTGAAAGCAAATGTTGAAGGGAGCTAGTTATTCAGAATTCATTACCACAAGCCATAACCACATACTGCCTTAATTTTTTGTTTGAATGATCTTCTGATGCTTTCTTCAATTTAATATCCCTAATTCAGTTCCTTATATTCTGATAGCCAATGTTGAAGGGCACTGCTTATTGAGTAGGATGTCTATGGAACTGCCTTATCTATCTTTGGAAAAGTCTTCAAACTTGGGTCTTGGAGAAAGAGCGGAGATGTTTTCAACTGTTGACTTGTGCCCCTGTTTCATGAAGGTAATTCTTACTGGATTTAAATATGTAATTACTCTTTTAAATTCACTCCATTAGTTCACAAGTATTCTTGTTATCCTGCACATCATGAAACTGGAAATATTCAATGATGATTCGGTTTTAGGATTTTGGTCTCATTATTCCTTCTTAGGGAAGGTTACAACGTGAAGGGCATTAGGTGTGAAACGTTGCCACTATGCTTTTTGCGTGAATATGTAGTGTTATGTAACTGTATACAATTAGTAGTTAGCACTTAGCACTATAAATTTAATGCCAACAACTCCAAGTAGTTCAGATTAAGGTCATGCTTAAATTTATAAGCTGTTTCAAAAACTCATTTGTGGAAATTGTAAGTTACTCTTAGTCCTGAAATCTGATCTGATCATTGCTCTGTTAGTCATGAACTCATGATATGTTGGGAGGATATAGTTATCCTATGGAATGGTGTAGAAGGGCTCTCTGCAATTTCTGTTTGCTTTATTAGCTTTCCTGCTAAGTATCCATCTTTTCTTGCTGTCCTCATGCTATAGAGGGAATTTAGCAAAGTACAAGTTCTTTAATTTGTCATGATTCTTTTCTTGCAGTTAAGCTATTTGGACAAACATGGGTGTGTCTCTTTTCAGTTTCCTAAATCACTTGGAGCTGCGGTACTTTCAATTTTATTATATATTCTGACAGTTCTGTCTTCTGTTGACATCTCGCTTTTTCCTTGCATATATAACTCATCTATATATAATTATTCTCTTTTGGATTTCTTTTCTTGTTTTGTTCCAAAGGATACAACACATGAGATTAAAGTTAGTGTTGCTGCAGAAGAAGTTGGCGCACAGGAGAGAACACCATATGATTCATACTCCTATAGTGAAGTTCCTAACTCATCCTTGCATCATGTTATGAGGTGAAATCTCTTTTTCATAGCATACACTCATATTGTTTTATTGTGTGATACATATTACAAATTTACACTAACCTTTTACTGTAAGTCTCATGAAATCACTGTTCTAAATTGTAGCAACTAGCTCTTTTACTATGCATATGATGAGGTCACCGATTTAAATGTCAGGAATTGTTTACCCATTGACTACATTACAGTTCAAGTTGTTCAACTTCTCACAAGCTGTAAAGTTTTTTTTTCTTATTTAAACATGTATATGTACAGCTCTACTGCTTTAACCTATACACGGAGTGTATGTTTCCTACGCTATTTTTATCTACATTTCTCTGTGTACTCTGTCTCCACTTTTGGATTGCCATGGAAAATTGTTCTTTATGACACTTCTCTTCACTCATTGAAACTTTCTAAGCTTATATTTCTTATGATGAATACATAAATCATTAATCATTTAGCTTTTTGTTGTAATCCCCAGGCTTAGGACTGGAAATGTTGTTTTCAACTATAGGTACTATAACAATAAGTGCATGCGAACGGAAGGTAAATGATTATCTCTTGAGAGTAAAACTTTCATGTCTTGAGCTCGGGTTTACTATATCATATTCTCTGGTAATCTTATGGTAATAGACTATTTTGTTAGGTACATGGGTCTAGTCTCCCACAGCCCCTTTTGCTATAGAATTGATTTTCATGGTTGTTTAGAACTCTAGATGCACATGAGTTTTTGTTTAATACACATGTAGTTCCATTCAACAAAACATTCCTTTTAACAAAAAAATACAAAAAATATGTCATTCAAAATATTGACTTCATTTCTATGGAACATGACAGTGACAGAAGACTTCGCATGTCCTTTCTGCTTGGTAAAATGTGCAAGCTATAAGGTGAAAGGTGTCATTAGTTGTTACTAGTCACGTATTCTTTAATGAATTCGTTCTATTTTTACTGTTTGTTCTTACAGGGACTTCCCTTTTATTTTTTTAGGGCCTGAGATATCACTTATCATCTTGTCATGATCTATTCAATTTTGAATTTTGGGTGGGTAAAATTCAGTGGTCCATCACATTTTGTTTTTATTCTCTCTCCCTTTAGCTCTGTAAATTTAATTTCATTGTAATTTGTAGGTTACTGAAGAATATCAAGCTGTAAATGTGTCTGTTAAAACTGATGTATGGAGATCTGAGGTGAGCAAACTGGCTCTCTGCCAGAATTAACCGTAGAATGTCAGTATGTAAATATGGGTGTTCTCAACTTGTCTATGCTTCATTTGTCAACTCGATCTGTTTTTTCTTTTTTATTAAAAAAACATATCTGCCTAATTTTATAAAACGGGATATGGTGAGATTCTTTTAATATGTTCTTGTACTTAATTGCTATTTAATTCATATATTGGTATTTGGTAGATGTGAAGTTTTAGTGGTGCCTTTATGGTCTTTGTGAATGACTGCCCTTGTTTCACTAATGTGTCTCAGATCATTGCTAATGGTGTCGATCCTAAGCAGCAAACATTTTTCTATTGGTATGTAACCATTTCATGCGTTAACTTGTACTACCTCCGTCCCGTTTAAAGGTTCCCATGGCAAATTGGCATGATTATTTAGACAATAATTAAATACGCTAATTCGAATATATTTTGAGAAATAATTTTGATGATTATATTATATAATGAGTTATTGATGATAACTGTAATGTTATAAATGTATTATTTTTAATATTTGATGATTAAATTGTTATTTAAGAGTGTTAATTGTTTCCTAAAATAGAAAGTGAGAACCTTTAAGTGAGACGCCCAAAAAAGGAAAGTGGGAACCTTTAAATGGGACGGAGGGAGTATTGATTAGTATTTGAGGTTGTTCAATGCTCAAAGTTTGTGAATTTCTACACACACTTCATGTGCAGTTCAAAGCCCTTAAGACGCAGAAAATCACAAAATGTTCAGAATGGAAAGCATGTACATCCACTGGCCTTTGATTCAGAATCTCCCCCAGCAATCAATGGTCATCAGACCACGAAGGATGGAATGAACAATTTAGGTATGTAAAGGACTCCACATGGCTACATTTGGAATCTAGAAAATGCCAGGGAAAGGAAAGAAATTGCTAAGGAAAGTTGTTTTCTTATGTTTGGATTTGCCTCTGATAATGCAAAGGAAAATGAAATATGTTTAATTTTTTTTAAATTTTGTATATGTTTAGATTGCTTAATACGGAGTATTTAATTCGGAAAGAACGACATAAATATTACCTCTACACTTTTGGAAGACAAAAATATGACTAGTTACATTTTTCCCCAAAAATGTGACTAGTTTCTTTTTTTCTCTCAAAATTCTGACTAACCTTTATTTAGTTAATTTAAATTTCCTCTCCTAATCCCTACCAACTGCCCCCCACCCCACCCCTGCTTTGTTGCCACCTCTGGCAACCGCTACGAACGAGTGCCACCACCGACTGTCATAAAAGTCATCAGAAAATGCTCACTGTTTTTTTTTTCTGTTTTTTACGGAGTATCATTTTTTAAAAGTTTGCCAGAAAATCAGTTGACATGCTCTACGGCGTCAGTGACATTGGTGACGGTGGCTAAAGTGATAAGGCGGTAACTGGTAGTGATATAATAAATTGGCAGTGACATTCGTAGTTTTTTTAATTTTATTACCATGTTAGCCACATTTTTGTTCATATGTAGAAGTTGTACTCCCTTTTTCCTAAAATAATAGTTACATATTTCATTTTTCGGCTGTCCCAAAATAAAGGTTACATTTCTTTATTTGGCAAATGATCCGACATACCATTCATACTTTATCCTTTTACTTACATTTATAACTTTTTTATTCCAACTTTACTTACTTTTTCACTGCTACAGGGTAATGATAAAGGTTAGTGTAGGTATTTATACCATTTTCTTAATCTAGAGCCCAAAAAAAGTGTCAGCATTAATTTGGGATGGAGGTAGTAACTGTTTTGGAAAGGTCTTCCATATAGTTATTGGTCAAGGAAAAATCCCTAATACTTCCTCCGTTCTTTAATAGTTGCAACGTTGTGATTTTTGCACTATTCGCACACCTTACTTTGATCATGATTTTCGACTAGTATATATAACCAAATTATTATGTATAAAATGTTACTCCGTATTAAATTTCTATTAATGTGAATTTCCAAAATATTAACTTTTTATAATGTTTACTAATACGTAATTAATTATAATTACAGTCAAAGTTGTACGTTGGCAAACATGAAAGTCAAACTGTTGCAACTATTTAAGAACGGATGATAATATTTAAAATTAATGTGTATAAATCAATAAAAACAAGTTCTGTATTTCCTCCCTATTTTCTATCCCTAGCTTCCCCCCCCCCATTCCATACGTACTGGAACTAAACTTCGTTGCTCTTGCACTGTTTGATGATCCTCGTCTTTTAGTTGTCCCCGTACTTGAATTATTCCATTCTTTTGAGTCATTATGTTTAGTCTATCTTCTTATGGATGACTTGCATCAATTTATAAGATCTATTATTACTCCTCAATTCCCCCATCCCCCTTGTAGAGAGTTGTAGTTGGAGTTTTATGTCTTAGAACCAATTTGCTTCGTTTCTCGGGATGGAGAAGTACTTTAGCAAGCATTACATACAATTTTTGTGAAAGGTGCACCATGCGCTTTTCCTTTTAAGTTGATAATAATTTTAGAAAGTTTTACCAGATACCGTCATTTGTGATGCATCAAGTCCCAATGCTACTGGTGTATCATTAGCTACAGAACATCAAAATCCAGATCCAGACTGTTCACAATCCTTGCCTATAAGCAGTTTAGCACCACCTGCAATGCTTCAGTTCGCAAAGACCAGGAAGTTATCAGTGGAGCGTTCTGATCCAAGAAAGTATGTGTGCTGGTTCAATGATATATTGATATACACTCCCTCCGTCACACAATTTTCTTCCCACCTTCCCTTTTGAGTTATCTAAACGTTTTCTTCCCATTTCCTTTTAAGGAATGCTGTGTATAGTTAACACTCTTTCTCTTTTTTCTACATCAACTATAGCAATACATTTCCAGTTTTCCACTTTATTAATATGTGTGCCAATTCAAAGTGGGAAGAAAAATTTGGGACAGAGGTAGTTTGTCATAATGCTACTTCCATACTTTGAATTGGTCATTTTTTTTAACAAAACTGGCCACAATTATGTATCATGTTTTTTCTTGATGCTGAAGATTTGAGGAGCTTGTTTTTGCACTAATATACTCTCGGATGTTGTTAAGCATTAAAATGTTTATTACTTGAGCTTTGCTTCTATGTGCTAGTGAGTTTTACACAGTAATTTTGAGTGGTGTTTTGATCTACTAGATCTGCAACTAACTGCATGGCTTATATCCTTCTTTGCCATGATCTTTAATTACGCTTCATTGTTGCATGATGCCTGATTTCTTGGTTCTTTGGTTTGTCTTTCCCACAGTCGCACACTTCTACAAAAGAGACAATTCTTTCACTCACACCGAGCCCAGGTGACAATTGAATTGTACATATTGCGGTGATTTTTAACTTTTTTATTGTAATCCCTTTGTCCTTTTCAAGGACAATCACAATGAGTTTGATCTACTATTAAGAAACTTAAAGTATATGCTTTACATATTCATGCTTATCAGCAGTGATGATTTACTTGTTTGGGATCAAATCCAACTTGATGTACTAAAATATTTCTGTCTCTTTTTTTCCAATGCGGGAAGCCTATGGAAATGGAACAAGTTTTATCAGATCAGGATAGTGAGGATGAAGTTGATGATGATGTTGCAGATCTTGAAGACCGGCGGGTATGCCATACTTTGTGTCATAGCTGTCAAAGTCGTGACTAGTACTATCAGTACTACTCATGAGAATTGATCTGGTCAAATAGGAGCTATCTTACTATTCTAGATTTCTAATTTCGTGATTGATTGTGGAAATTAATACGGAGTAGTATGTTTGTCTTGCAAATATTGTGGAGATCCTTGGCTGACATTATCTTAAAGTAAGCGCATTACACTTAACGATTCCTTAATTGTCCTGAGCTGAAATGTTTTGTTCAGGCCTTGCATCTCTGACCCCCACTAGTTGCGAGATTCCCGACTTATCTTCCTTTTGCATATGATTTTTTGAGGGCAGTTTGGAACCTGGAAATGCCAGGAAAAGGGATAAAAATGCCTAGGAAAGTATTTTGTTGGCGTTACTGGTTAGGGTTACTCCTGGAATCAAAAGAAAACGAAATTTGAGTAATGTTTTTTATATTTGTTTGCATATGTTTAGGCTTCTCAGTCTATATATAATTTTTTTTTTTGAGAGCCAGTCTATATATAATAGAAATAAAGGTATTAACAAATAAAGTGAGTTTGAGCAAATATAAAAAATTAATTTAATGAGTTTGAACCACTTCTATCCCCTCCACACTCCCACAGTTTCTTTCCTTCAAAAGTTCTCCAATTCACTCCTTTTTATTCGCTTTCCTTACCAATTTGAAGTTCCTAAAGGACCCTAAAAGTGTGTTTAAATTCTTAGCATTACCATTTGATGTATCGATGATAATGCAGATGCTTGATGACTTCGTTGATGTTACCAAAGACGAGAAGCAAATGATGCATCTCTGGAATTCATTTGTGAGAAAGCAAAGGTCAGAACTTCCTGCTGCCTTGAGCTTGTCATAAGAAGGCATTTTTCTACTTTGTCACGTCCCACATTTATTATGTATTTATGTCAGTACTATACTGTCTTACATTGTGTTCAATGCATGGAAGAACTTGTGCTGTCATTCCATCTACTACTTTCTGAACGAGAAATTTCCATCATGTTCCTCTGAGTATAATGGGGCTCAGTGCTTATGTGGAGCCAAGCATATAGTTGTCATTGCGTGGGATCAATTCGGGGAAAATTGTAGGCAGCCTAGGAAAGCCTAGACATAGGTTAGATGTGTCAGTGTTCATTGGGGTGGGGGTGGGGCCATCCAGCCATGTATATATGCTAGAAAGCCTAGAAGGGTCCTTTTGGCCATTTGGGGGGTGGCGGGGGCAGAAGGATAGAGGAATAATATGATTACACAGGTTAGAATGGTAGATAATTTGTAGCTGATTAGTTTTCTACTTTTCTTGAGGGTTATAGCACCGAACTATTTTGAAATTTGGACTCAAATGGTCTATACATGATATAAAAACCTAACAAAAAGACCATGGTTATTATTATGATTATGATTATTATTACTATTATTATTATTTGATATACCTGTGCAGGGTGCTTGCAGATGGGCATATTCCATGGGCATGTGAGGCCTTCTCAAAGCTACATGGTCAAGATTTTTTTCGGACTCCTGCACTGCTGTGGTACCCAGCCCTAAATTTCCCCTTTTATGTGTTATTTTTCTCCTTGTGAAAACTTGCCTTGGTGATGACTTCTATAAGTACTGAATATGATGAGATCATGAGATGTATGTGTATTATCTATTTCAGGTGCTGGAGATTATTCATGATAAAACTATGGAATCATGGTCTTCTTGATGCTCGTGCCATGAACAACTGTAACATGATTCTTGAACAATTTCAAAACCAAGAGGGTGACAAACCAATAACCTAACCATGCATATATGTTCGTTCTTTTGATTTTTGGGGGCGGACTGCTCGTGATCAAGTTCCAGTCCCAAGACTTCTGACCGACACACATATATGCTCTCCTGCTTTTGCAAGTCTTGGGCTGTTGGCCATCCATCTTGTAGTATCCTTTCCGGTCTTAAAGATGAGTGGAGTGCCCTGTTTGGTAGTTTTTTTCCCATGTATTGATGTATGCTTTGGTTATAGTACAGTAAACATATTCAAGCATCCTAATTGTAAAAAAAGTATGTCGGGTCTTCACTCGACCATTTGTAAATAGAATTATTCAAAACTCCAAACACATTCAACTGATGTTCGTGCAAGGAAACTTCACCAGTGCACCACCCTCTTCTGGTTAAGTGTCACATTTTCAAACAATGAAACAAGTATAAAACACGAAATGTTTTATTAACTTTGGTAAAAAAGGTAAATGTGGAATAAATTTGATTATTGGTTTATGAAATTCTAATGAGCATTATCGTGGAGTAGTTTTTATGTTAGATTAGGCTCAAACATAAACAGATGCTCATAAAGAATTTAGGCCAGATTTGTAAAAGATACTGGCATTACAGTTAAATTAAAACATAGTTAAATACATAAGACTAGTAAAGTTCAGTTCAACGGAATACGGTTTCATTCATACACAAAACTATACACTATTGGGATACCTGTTATTATTAATAGAGAAATGAAAGATCGAATCAAAGGTTTTTCTATATTTTCGCTCTTTTTCAATTTCTATTTTCAAGGAATTTGGTCCGGCTTCTTCATTGGCCGAGAATTTTGTCCGCTTCATGTGAGCGTGTGATATGTTAATCTCCTATCAATGTCTAGAGGTTGTGCGTTTCAAATCGGTGTAATCGATCTGGTGAAGCTTTTCAACCTTGTTGTTCTGACGTTTCAAATACTCGCCCACCACCTGAACCACCGCCTCACTGTGGTCTGTGACTCTGTGGGGAGAAGAAGATGATCAAGCGGATCTCCTTTTCGGTGGTTGGTCAAACCGATGCTTCAAGAAATTTCTATTCGACTGATTTCCCTTTGTTGGTTGCTGGTCAAACCAATTCTCTCTTTCTGGTGGCTGGTGAAGCCAGATCTTTTAGTTTTAATTTTTTTAATTTCTCTTTGAAGTAACAAGAAGATCAGCAAGGTTGTTAGACTAGACTACATTATTGCGGGGTTAGCGATCGGGAAAGATTCATTGAATCTGTTCTGTTCTATGTTTCATCCCATTGTAGTCTCAGACTATTCATTCTCTTGTATTTTTGCTATCGCTTAATAATAAATTAGTTATTTGATTTTCAAAAAAACAAAAGTAGGGATGTAAACTGTGAAGTACGACAAAATAACCAAAACCTCTTTAATGAGTTATTCCCAGCTCATTTAACTAAATGTCCATCAACATTCAACAGCCTTTCAAAAAAAAAATGTCATCAACATGATCTATTCTCCGTCGTGTGTTTTAATCTCAAAACTCTCATTGCCATTTAGTAAACATCTACTCCCTCCATCCCCTTTTAAATGGGACGGGAGATGGTGGCACGGGTTTTAAGAAAAGTGAGTTTGTGTGGTTGATATTAATTGATAAAGTAAGAATAAAGTAAGAATGATTTTGAGACACACAAAGTTTACCAAATAAGGTATGGGACAATTAAATAGGGACATCCCAATATGGTAAAACGGGACATTTAAAAGGGGACAGAGGAAGTAATTCTTTTCTTATGACGAAACAATTATGAGGTTAAATCTGAAACGTTGGTAAAAAAGTTCACTTATGTTGAAAGATAAAGATGCAAACTAGGAGAGGGACATAATATAACAATTTCAATTTTAGAATAGATACATACAAGCGGGACAGATTTAAGTGGATCACATCGCACACTTGAGATCTTGTGAGATCTTGAGTTCAAGTCATCAAAAAGTTGAATGTATGAGGCTTTTCTCAAACGATGATCTTGTGGCTTCCGGGGCTTGCTCAAGTGATCGCTCAACTAGTGTTTCGTCTCGTCTCATCTAGTGTTAATCGTTGGGTATATAGTCTTCTTTCAGCTCCCGGTATTATTCGTTAAGCGTGTCTTTGTCTGTCAAAAAAGAAAATGATATAAATGCAATGAAATGCACGAAGTTTAGCTAAGTTCTTATGCTTAGTGAGAATCCTGAATGAAATGTCACGAAAAGTATCAGCAAAACAACTCCGACCCGTGTAGAAGTATTTAATAACTTAAAATGGTATAAGTTAGTACTATGTATTCAGAGTTGTATCTAACCTTTATTTAAATAGTAACTCAAATTTCTTCTTGAATTCCTACCCAATTGATATGGGAGGCCGGGTGATTGAACAGGACTTCCCATCCATCTCCGCCCCTTCCACCCCTCCCCTTCACTACCGTTGCCACCGACTACATTTGCCAGAATAATTTCTTCTGATTTTGAAAAAAATATCGGGAAAAGGTTTTGAGAAATATTGAGATTTTTTTCCGGACACACTGATACGTTTCACAGCGACAACGACAATGACATTAACATAAACTGACAGTCACAATAAATATTGAATGATATAAAGAAACCGTTAAGAACATACATGGCTAATAGTGACTAAATTTTTTTCAATTTTTGGTCCATTATATTCATATACTCCCTCCATCCCTTATAACTTTGTCTACTTTCCTTTTTTGGGTGTCATTAAAGATTTGTGGTTCCCGTTAATTCTCTCTCCTTTGCATAAACTTCAACCACGCAGTTTTTACTTTATTAATACACGTGACGGTCAAACTTGACAAAGTTATTAGGGGCGGAGGGAGTATAAAAGTAGTCAAAATTTTAATTACTTAAGTGTGTTAGTGATTTTAATTACTTAAGTGTGTCATATGATGTTTTCTTTTGAATCGTTTTCAGTCCCATACTAGATCAGATCAGACCAGACTTCCATAGTTATAAAATACACAAAGGCCAGACATTTCCAAATCAGATCAGACTAGTTCAGAACATATCAGATCAGATCTGACCAGACAAGCAAAATTCAGTCCAAAAGAAAACATCCATAGTCAACTAATTTTGTAACAGAAAGTCATGGGGAATGAAGTCCAGTGGCAGTAAAGCAATATTCATCAGACAAAAAAGAATTGGAAAATACATACTCCGGGTACGTTTTTTTTCTAAAGATGTCACTATTTTGTTTTGTCTGTGACATAAATAATTTACTTAAATTTTAGTAGAAATTTCGGAAATTTTATACAAATTATTTGTGGACACGTACAAAACGTGTACACAAGACATTGCTCATAAAAAGTTTACATCAAACAAATTGATCAAAATACTCTTGTAATCTTGTTCATCTAGCTTTAATTTCAAAGGAATGCTGAACCTCTCTCGGGCAAACGTTCTTGCAAAGGTTTGCAATTTCTTCCTCTCTTTCAGAGCGGATCCACTTAAGTTAATTCACAATCGTGATTTTGTCTAATAGAGCTAAGGATCGATTAAAATAAAAATTGTTTATAAAAATACAACTAGTATTATAGTAGTAACTTAATCCTCGTACCTTATGTTTAATTCTTAAACTTATGTGAGCATGACATTCTATAAAAAAATTGATCATGACACTATTCTACGGATGTAATAACAGTCACATTTGTGTAAATAAATTTTATTTTAATGATATTTTGGAAAAATAAAAATATTTTAAATAAGTCCATTCTAAAATAAACATTAAAATATCTATTAAGAAAATAATCCCTTCTAAAAGAATTATTATTATAAATTTTCCTGTCAAAGATTTAGCTAATACTCCCTCTGTCCCACAAAGCAATAAAAAATAGTTTATGTTGTTGATATTGAATTGATAAAGTAAAAATAAAATAAGATTGATTTAGAGCCACATGAAATTTACCAAATTTAATACTCCCTCCGTATTTTACTACACTTTCCTTTTTGGAATGTATTTCAAAGTTTTCTACACTTTTCTCATTTGGAAAGTTTTCCCTTTAAAAATATTCAATTGCCCTTACCTTTTCTACTTTTTATCTTCTATTTCACACTTTTACACGTTCTCTCCTACTTTTTCTACACTATTCATTACCCTCACTATTCTATCCTTAAATAACTTGTCCAAAGCTATTATAGTGAACTTTTAAATACGGAGGAGTATGAGAATCTTAATGAAACACACTGAAAATGTAAAATGAAACCATGAATCTCTATTTCAGTTAAAATAAAAGCCTAATTTAAAGTCTAAACAGTGAAATCCAAACTTGCATGTTTTTGCAGTTGGAACTTAGAATGCGGTAGTGAGAACTGGGACTGAAAGTCTGAACTCTGAAATCCAACGGCGTCCGCTCTTGTAGTAAAAGCTATAGTTATTATTATATCTCTTCTTCGAATTTCAAATGCTTTCAAAGACCAGGATTTTGGTGAACCCATCGCCTTGCTATTTTGCATTACTTCAGAAACTTCACTGTCATCAGCACTCACTAGCTTCCAACCCGGCGCCAAATTATGCGGAGCTTTTAAATTCCTGCATCGCTGGGAAGGCGATTGAGCGAGGCAGGCAGCTACACGCTCGTCTGTGCCTTATTGGGCTTGGCTACAACACCTTCTTGGCCACGAAACTAGTCAATCTTTACTGTGTTTGTGACCATGTAAGTGTTGCACACCAACTGTTTGATAAAATCTCCAAAGGTAATCTCTTTCTCTGGAACGTTTTGATTCGAGGGTACGCGTGGAGTGGTCCTTATGAGGTTGCCATATCTTTATATTTCCAGCTGCTCAAGCACGGCCATGTTCCCAATAACTTTACTTTTCCTTTCGTGCTCAAGGCGTGCTCGGCCCTCTCTGGTATTGATGTCGGGAGGGACATTCATGGGCAAGTGGTGAGCACTGGGTGGGAAAGAGATGTCTTTGTTAGTGCTGCCCTCATTGACATGTATGCAAAAAGTGGTTGTGTTGAGAATTCAAGAAAAGCATTTGATAATGTTGTTCAGAGGGATGTTGTCGTTTGGAACTCAATGCTCGCTGCTTATTCCCAGAATGGGTGTCCGGATGAGTGCCTATCTTTATGCAGTGAGATGGCGTATTCGGGCGTTGGGCCAACTGATGCCACTTTAGTGACTTCCATTTCAGCGGCTGCAGACATAGCTGCACTTCAACAAGGGAGGGAGCTTCATGGCTACAGCTTCAGACAGGGCTATTGCTCTCAGGACAAGGTGATGACCGCTCTCGTGGATATGTATGCCAAGAGTGGTCATGTGAAGCTTGCTAGGATGTTATTCGAAGCACTTTCAGAGAAAAGGGTTGTTTCTTGGAATGCTATGATCACTGGATATGCAATGCATGGCCATGCTAATGCAGCGCTTCATATGTTTAATTGGATGATCCGTGGAGCCCACCCAGACCACATTACTTTTGTCGGAGTTTTATCGGCTTGTAAGCATGGAGGGATGCTGGATGAGGCGAAGATGTATTTTGAACAGATGACTAGGATTTACGGTGTTGAACCATCTGTTCAGCATTATACTTGCATGGTTGATCTCCTTGGTCACCGCGGACGGCTGGATGAAGCTTATGGACTTATAACACAGATGAAAGTCGTCCCAGATTCTGGTGTGTGGGGCGCATTGCTTAATTCGTGCAAAATTCAAGGAAATGTGGAGTTAGCAGAACTTGCCTTGGAGAAGTTAATCGAGCTGGAACCAAACGATGCTGGAAATTATGTGATATTATCAAACATGTATGCCCAAGCAGGCAGGTGGGAGGGAGTTGCTACACTAAGAAAACTAATGACCGACAAAGGATTAAAGAAAAGCACAGCTTGTAGCTGGATTGAAGTTAAAAGTAAAGTACACGCTTTTCTCTCTGGAGATACATCTCATCCAATGTCCAATGAAATTTATGAAGAACTAAAAAGTTTGGGAGCAAGGATGGTGCAGGCTGGTTATACTCCAAATACTTCAGCTGTTTTTCATGATGTGGATGACGATGAAAAGACTAGAATGCTTTCCTGCCACAGTGAAAGGCTAGCAATTGTCTTTGGGATTATTAGTACACCACCGGGGAGCAATCTCTTGATCACTAAGAACCTACGGGTTTGTGAAGATTGCCATGTTGCAATCAAATTTATATCGAAAATCACAGATAGACAAATTACTATCAGAGATGTGAACCGCTATCATCATTTCAAAGATGGCATCTGTTCTTGCGGTGACTACTGGTAACCTGAGGATCAGGAAAATAAGAGTTTGAAATTAATTGCTCAATGAGAAATGTAAGTAAAAGTAGATACTATCTCCGTCTCACTAACATTCAAACATGAGAAAGTGGTGCAATTATTAAGAAATGTGGGTTTATGTGGTTGATATTGAATTGATAAAGTAAGAATGATTTAGAAGCATATAAACTTTACCAAATTTGGTATGGGACAATCTTAGTGGAAAATATGAAGGAGTAAAATAATGAAACAGTAATTCATAAGTGTACGCTTGAAATTCCGGATTCCCAACTAATCCTGATTTTTGTTATGCTTGTAGTAGCCACATGGTTATGTTAAAATTATAGTAAGCTACTGTGTTTCTATATTTTTCTTTTAAACAATTTTTTGAGTTAGTTGATCTCCCTATGGATGGCGAAATTGCCCAGATTTTCAAATATTGCTATCACTGCTTCAGACTAATGAACTCTTTCATAATATATGGGATGGTGGAGTTGCCTTTTTTCTATTTTCAGCTTGTCCAAGTCTCATAACTGCTTTAAAGTAAAGAGGTCATCAATCATTTACATGATGGTGGGGTTGTCTTTTTCTATTTCCACATTTTTTGAGTGGCTTTAACAAGAAAGTCAACTGAAAGGATGTATATAATCCATGGCAGCTCAGCTACTGACATTATCGGGTTATCCAGCTGGAATGATTCTAACCCTCAAATAATATTTTTTGCTCGAACCTTACACATGAAATATCCTAGAAATTGTGGGCCACATTTGGGCAAACTGAATTAGTGAAGTTGATCAATTCAGACTGCCAAGACTGGTTGGTAGCACCTAATAAGTCATAAGCATTACTATCCAGTACTTAACTACTCAAGAACTCCTGTTTCCTTTTCTCCTTCATAAATCCATTTTAAAAAAAATAAAAAATATTATGGCAGTGGTAATATCCATACCTAATGAACTCGGCCATTATAATGGCAGCATAACTTCATTTGTCGTGTTATCCTGTATGATGGCTGCCATGGGAGGTGTTATCTTTGGTTATGATATTGGAATCTCAGGTTCAGTGTGCTGCACATATTTTATCATTTATTTGTCTTACTCAAGTTCTTGAATAGATAATTAATTAATGCCAACAGTAAATAACTAATCATGCCACAAAGCTATTAGCTAGGCTAATGATATACCATTAGATGTTGTTGAGTTATTTTTGCCTAAAAAGATTTGACGTTTATGAGAATGTGCACTTTTTTAAGGTGGAGTGACCTCAATGGAACCATTTCTGAAAAAGTTCTTCCATGATGTGTATACTAAGATGAAGAAAAATACTGAGGTCAGTAACTACTGCAAATTTGACAGTCAACTCTTGACGGCTTTCTCATCCTCACTGTATGTAGCCGGTCTATTTGCTTCCTTGTTAGCGTCATTGGTAACCGGCGCATTCGGACGAACACCATCAATCCTAATCGGTATGTTTGGATCCCATAAAATCCTATGGAAAGGGAAAAGGTTTAAGGAAACTTATTTTCTTATGTTTGGTTTTGCATTGAAAAATGGAATATAATTAGTTGTTTGCTTTGCATACTTACATATATTTACATATTTTAGTCATTATATAATACACATAAATACACATAGATCGAAATTGTTTATCAACAAACACCCAAATAACATTATTGAGCTTTACGATATTCTTTATTTTCCTCGACACTATTCCCTTCCAATTTCTCTTATGCTTTCATTCCTAATTTCTTTCCTTAATATTTTCTGGGATCCAAACGGACCCTGTAGGCGGAGTTGCTTTCCTAGCCGGCACAGCCCTCGGTGGCGCGGCCTTGAATATTTACATGCTGATTCTCGGCAGAGTTTTGCTTGGCATAGGAGTTGGTTTTGCCAATCAGGCAGTTCCATTGTATCTATCAGAAATGGCGCCAGCCAAGTACAGAGGAGGAATCAACAATGGCTTCCAGCTGAGTGTAGGCATTGGGGTCTTAATTGCAAGCCTAATAAACTATGGGACTGAAAAGATCAGAGAAGGTTGGGGATGGAGAATCTCTCTATCACTAGCTTCAGTTCCTGCATTTTTCCTAACATTAAGTGGTCTTTTCCTCCCAGAAACACCCAACAGTCTGATTCATCGATTCCATGATAATGAGAAAGCTAAGAAGATGCTGGAGAGAATAAGAGGCACAAATGACGTCCAGGCAGAGTTGGATGATCTCATTGCAGCTAGCGAGCTTTCAAAAACAGTAAAAAACCCCTTCATCAACATCACACAGAGAAGATATAGGCCTCATTTAATAATGTCAATCATGATTCTTTTCTTCCAACAAGTGACCGGTATAAATGTGATAGCTTTCTATGCTCCGGTCCTTTTTAGGATAATTGGCTTAGGTGAAAGTGCTTCACTCATGTCATCGGTTGTGATTGGGGCAGTTGGAATGGCCACAACTTTTGCTTCAATGCTGATTGTCGACAAACTTGGTAGAAGACGGCTTTTGATCATCGGGGGAATAGTAATGTTTTCCACACAAGTGACTGTAGGGGTAGTTATGGGTGTTAAGTTGGGGAACCACGGAGGGGTAAGCAAAGACTGGGCAGTTGTGGTTTTGTTACTAATATGTGGTTATGTTGCAGGGTTTGGGTTGTCATGGGGGCCTTTGGGATGGCTGATTCCAAGTGAGATCTTTCCACTGGAGATCAGATCAGCTGGACAAAGCATCACGGTGGCTGTGAGCTTTCTGTTCACCTTCTTGGTTGGTCAAAACTTGTTGACAATGCTTTGCCACTTCAAGTGTGGGATTTTCTTCTTCTTTGGTGGGTGGGTTGCTGTTATGACTGCCTTTGTGTACTTCTTGTTGCCTGAGACAAAAAATATACCTATTGAGAAAATGGATAGGGTTTGGAGAGGTCACTGGTTCTGGAAGAAATTTGTTGAAGAGGTTCTGTAGTACTAAATTACTAATACTCTGGAGAATGGTATATATGAGAATCTATGCCTTTTAGCTGTTCTTGTTTGCTCTTTGCCTCTTTATTTTACTAGTATAAATGTCAAAGAAAAATATATGCGTCTATTGTAATTTATAGATTTATATTATACCGTTCCTAAGATCGCTTTGAAACCTTTGTTTTGTTTTCATTTAGTGGTCGTTTTACCCTTTCAAGGCTTCACTTATTACTTTGATTCCAGTTTTACACATCTACACCCAGTTACTAACTGCGTAGCTTTAAGACTTTTAGCAATTTCTTACTACTTGTGCCAACCAATCAATGGCGTCACAAAAGTGATCTAGAAAAAATTGTAATGAAAGATAATATGAAATCTAGGAAAATATGGGAAATTAAGTATTTCAAAGAAAAAATATAGCAAAAGGGGAAAGTATGACAAATCCAAAAAATACTTCCTAAAAAGAAAAGTGTAACAAACAAAAGAACTTGTAAAAAGAAAAGTGTAGCAAACAAAAGAATTTGAAGGAAACATAAAAGAAAGAATATACGAAATTTCTTGAAAAAATCAAGATTACATTTACGCCTTCAAATTTGCAAATACTCAAAAGATGTAACACAACTAACGAAAAATATAGCAAAATGATGGTGTACATCATATAAACACCACCTTCATTAAATTCATGTGAAAATATAAAAAGAATATCATTAAATTGTTGAATAAAAAAACGGAAAAATTGAAAATAATAATCTCAACTATTGCTGATCCGCTAACAATAATCCCAACTATTGATGATTTTTGTATAATTCCAACTATATGGACCGCCCGCCAATAATGGTCCATGATCGGATATTACCTGCTATTAGAGATGAATTTAAATAGAAATTAAGTGTAAAAATTAGAAGTTGAGATTATTTATAGGGATTACCTGCTATATCTCTTACTCATCCACTTAAGAAACTATAGAAATTTATTTATAGCCGGTCACATCGGACCATTATTGGTGGACGGTCCCTAAAGTTAGGATTATTCTGAAATAATCGATAGTTGGAATTATTATGAGCGGACCGTCAATAGTTGGGATTATTACTATCAATTTTTCATAAAAAAAACTCATCATTCCTCTTTCTCTTTGTTATAGGTTGAATATTAATTCTAATTCATAATTACACTGCTGGAGCTATGATTTAAAGCATATTTATTAAGTTGTAAACTACACAAATACTCCCTCCGTCCCGCTATTAACTTCCTACTTTCCTTTTTGGGCCGTCCCAAAATAATCTTCTCATTTCCCTAAATGAAAAGTTATCCTACATCAAAACAGTGTCAAACAGTGCAAAACAATGCCAAACAGTGTCTAAACAGTGTCAAACAGTGTCTAAACAGTAAAGTCAAATTTATTTCCTAAATATGTGTGTAGGTCAAAGTAGGAACTTAATAGAGGGACAGAGGGAGTATGATATAATAAATTGTCATATATTCCGACATTAATGAAAGTTAATATCCATTAATTATTTTTAAAACCTTAACATTCTTTCAATATACCAATATATAACATAGATTATTTATTAATACTCCATCCGTCCTATTTTACTTGTCATACTTTCAATTTTGGGTTGTCCCAAAATAAGTGTCTCATTTCCTTTTTTGGAAAGAAATGTGGCTTACATCATTTCACTTTATTATACTTTTACCTTTTCAACCACTTCATTAATAACCTTGTCAAGTCAAAGTAAGACACGTAAAATGAGATGGAGGTAATAACATTCTTTCGGGGGCTATGCAGAGATTTATTGTCGTGGGAAAATATAAGAGACCATTTGGCTACACTGTTTTTCGGCTTATCAGGCTTATCAGCCAACCTTTTCATCAAACACGTAATTTTTGCTTTCGCGCACTGAATTGTGTAATAAGAAGAAAAAGTAAGGTTGAAGTTACTTTTATGACTGTATTGGCTGAAGTTACAGTAGATCATTTTAGCTATTTTTACATATAATTTTTTTCTTTATTTTGTTAATAAAATATATTTTAAAAACAATTTTTACTTATATCAGCAGAATCAGCCAATGCTGCAAAATCATTCAAATCAGTCAAATCAGCCAATTTTCATGCTAACGCTCTAAGGGGGTGTTTGGAACTGCTTCTGCTTCTTTTTTAAAGCAGAAGCAGAATCAGAATCAGTTTTCAGAAGCTGGTACCTCCCAACTTCTAAAAAACTGATTTTGGGAGTAAATTAGAGCACTAGAAGTGCTTCTGGAATTTCATCCAAACACTCCGACTTCTGCTTTTGCTCGCTCAGAATCAGTTTTGCACACACCCCAGAAATTCCAAACATTTATGGGGATTCTTTCTGGAAGTTCACTTACTCACTCAGACTGAAAGATTCCAAGGCCAATGTCGAACATCCTCGGGATTATCGGAGATCACCTTGTCATCACTCAACACCTCCTCTTCACACTCCTCTGCATCTCGGTAATACATATTCTATACGTTCATACTTCATAGTATGCCTGCACATCTCTCTACAGCTATATGTATATGTATATACATACGTGTGTGTGACTGTGTGTATAATATTTGGTCCTCTGAGTTATTGATCTGCTGTTGGGTTTCCCTGAAGAAATTCTTGCAGGTCTTTAGGTCTCTCTGCTGCGCGATTGTTTGAAATTTTATTTGGCATTTAAAATGGAAAATTAAAAGAAAGACCTTGTGAAATTTCTTTCCAATCGGTATTGTAAAAGAGATAGTTTTTTAGTCTTAAAGCTTGTTTTTAGTGTAAGAGCTGCTTGAGGAAGATGTAATTTTATTGAAATAGTTGAGCTGGTTGAAGTTGCTGAAACTGTGGCTTGAAGTGGCCAACAAGGTTGAACTAATTCGAAAGAAGTTATAATATACGATAGTATATCTTAATTAAACTAAATGAAATAATACCCATTTCATCGAAAAATCACTCATTTACTACTTTCTTTTCCATTACCTACCTATCATGGCAACTATTGCACTGAAATAATTTAGCGTTTCATAGAAATCTGATTTGTAAAGCTCATAGCAAAACAAACATACGAAAGGGACACAAAATTCAGTCAGTCTGATGCAATGGATTTCAGGTCACCTCTTCTATTGTATATTTATATCTTTTACTTTGGTCGTTTGCTCATTTTCTCTGTGAGTTGTATCTTTTACATAGGCAGTTGGAAGTGAATCGGAGAAGTCACAACAGTACCCTTTAGTTGTAAGCACTTGGCCTTTCGTAGAAGCTGTTAGGGCTGCCTGGAAGGCCGCTGATAGCGGTTTGTCAGCTATGGATGCAGTGGTGGAAGGCTGTTCCACTTGTGAGGAATTACGGTGTGATGGCACAGGTATTGCTCCAAATAATCCCATTTCTGTGGAAGCTGTCTCTTCTTCTTCTAAGGACGTAATTATGTACACTCTAGTCCCAGTTTGAGGTTACCATAGACTATTCATTCCGTATTCACAGTCAACTTAACTATGTTTTAATGTATGATTTTATATAATAATTTTATTGCTATTCAAATTATTATTTGCGATTCAATAGAACTTCTTAGTTCCATCATTTGCAATGGAGCCAAAGATTCACTATTTTTGGCTTGTGAATATGATGGAATAAAACAAAATGACTCACTAAACTGTGTGCGCTTCTTTGTTATGAAGCAGCAGTCACTAAACATGCAATTTCCGACGCAATTTTCACCACGGGTCATCCGGAAACAGTCTCTCTGTGCTTCAGTACAGGGGTAAGACTATGTACATCCGACCCCCCTTACCCCACCGTAGGTGGGAGCCTTTGCGGCACTGGGGTAATGATGATGATGATGATGATTCAATAGAACTTCTTGTGTTGTTTTTTGAGTACGTAGATTTAATTACTAATACTAATACATATATTATGATTAAAATCAGGGAAGAGTTTAGTAAACTGAACCAAGAACCTTGAAATGGTACAAAGGGAGTATAATATAGATAGATATATACCAAGTATACATTATGTGTGAATTAGTAGTAGGACTTTTGTTAAGTTATTTTTTTAGTTTCAGGGTTTCGAAAACAGGCTGAAAAAAACTGAAACCTGAAAATTTATTGCACTTGGTCACTTGGAGATTTATTATTTATTCTTGTATCTCTTGATCCAACAACGGACTTTATTAAGAAAACGTTAAGATTGAAAAAAGTCTCTTAGCAGTACATCCTGTTTTATAACACTCCAGGTGCCTATGTTTCAACAGTCTTACTGAATAATTATGTGACTTAGGATTTGCCTGATATTGCTATAAAACTTGTTTTCAAATAATGAGTCTTTCAGAATATCATTTATATGCTCAGTTGGGCCTGGCGGAAGTCCAGATGAAAATGGAGAAACCACAATCGATGCTATGATCATGGATGGGGTAAAAATCATTACACTTTGTCTAGTTTATATGAGAAACTGAGAAGAGTGAAAAATTGGAATGAGAGAGGAAATAGTGAAAGAGGGGACAAATTGAGTAGTTTTTTTTTGTATTGATTGGTACTTTGGTATAAGAGATATAGGAGAGAAAGAGAAGCGAAAGGAGTGGTGTTATTTCATAATATAAAAAACTCACTTAAAGCTTTATTTTTTTAAATTATATTTACCTTATTAAGAAATGGGCAAAATTGACAAAACACAACCTAGAACATCACAAAGTGAGGGTAAAATATGATTAGTTTGACTTAGACAAGAAATTGAGAAGAGCGAGATATATGTAAGAGGGAGGAAATGGAGAGATAGAGTAGTTTTTGGGTATTGTTTGGTATAAGAGAAATTAGGTCAGAAAGAGAAGAGGAAGGAGTGATGTTACTACGTATTATTTTTAGAAGACAAAAACCTCCTCAATTTAAAAAAGAACTATATTTACTTTACCATGTGAAGGCTAAAATTGATACAAAAAAATTGATCAACCTAGATCTTCATAAATTTGTGGGCTCCAAGATTCAACTTGGCCCCATGGATTTTTCTTTTCTTTTCCACCTTCATTCTCTCCACTGAACAGAAGAAACTACTGCTTTCCTTCCATTTGCCATCTTCCCTAACTCTATCTACTTGTTATTTCTATTGTACCAAACATAGGGTTACTGCTTATATTTTGAAGTCCTTTATGATACAAGCAAAGAATAATAAATAATTTCAATTTATTCTGTATATGCTAAGACATACACAGGTGACAATGGAAGTTGGAGCTGTTGGTGCTATGAGGTATGTGAAAGATGGAATAAAAGCTGCAAGGCTGGTGATGCAATATACCAAACACACTATGCTTGTTGGGGAGCAAGCTTCGGTCTTTGCCCTTTCCATGGGCCTTCCTGGGCCTACAAACCTAAGCTCAGCAGAATCAATAGAAAAATGGATGAAATGGAAAGAAAGCAATTGCCAATCTAATTTTAGAAAAAATGTCTTCCCTGTGGATAACTGCGGCCCATACCATCCTAAGCGTTCTCTCTACCAGGATGAGCATATATGCTCCACAAGGCCTACTCAATCAGGGTCATTTCATATAAACCGTAACAACCATGACACAATCTCAATGGCAGTTGTTGACAGAGTAAGTTTTAGCTTCGTTTATCAAAGAAACCTAATATGTTCTCATTATTGCAAACAACCATGACACAATCTCAATGGCAGTTGTTGACAGAGTAAGTTTTAGCTTCGTTTATTGCAAATATAGTGGTTTTTCTTCAGGCCACTATATTTTTTTCCGTTCATCTTTCGAATTTGGTTTGTTTACTACAGTGATGCTAAAACAGAACCTATGTACTGAAATATGACTATATGACCACTCTCTCCGAAAATATTACAACCGTCATTGCATTAAAGTGAACATTGGTGTTAAAAGTCATATTTCCGTCCACTATTTTTAATTATCCATATTTTTTTCCTTGTTATTTAGTATGTTCTCTTTTTTGCCCATCCAGGTTAACCCTCTGTAAGAAAAAAATAAAGTTACTTACCAAACTAGTATGAACTGTGGACAATATTTTATAAGCCTCGAATATCCCTTTCTTCCTAGAAAATGTGGCATTTTTCGCGGGAAGGAAGAAATTTAGCCTGGGATTTCCACACTACATTTGTCTTGATGAAAAGTACGTAGTATATTTCAAATATATGTGGAAAGTCCAGACTGGAGTTCTGTGCCACAATAGATTTTTCTTTTGAAATGGTAACTATAGAGGTAAACGTGGCTACATAAAAACAATTTTTTTAAAAGGATCTAAAACAAATATATTGCTTACACAGAAACATATAAGCCAAAATGTTCATACTATTTTTCTCATCAAGGTTACTAAAACTGAATTTATTTTCCTTTTCAGGAAGGGCATATTGCTGTTGGAACCTCAACTAATGGGGCAGCATTCAAGATTCCTGGAAGGTAATCATTCTCAGTCCTACATTATCTTTGTTACTCCATCAGTTTATATTTTATTTAACCTATGAAGAAAGTAAATGGATGAAGGGGTTCATACTGAGTGCAGGGTTGGTGATGGACCTATTGTTGGGTCTTCAGCATATGCTGACTCTGAAGTTGGAGCTTGTGGGGCAACTGGGGATGGTGACATCATGATGCGTTTCCTACCATGGTTTGTAGCTTACTTAATAACAGCCCCTGAATCTGTTAAACTTGTTACATTGTTACCATTGACCCTATCAATATCTAACTAGACCTATTAATCTCATCAAGGGGAAACCTAAGCTCCATTAGCCCCCCCCCCCCCCCCCCCCCCGCCTGCCCGCACATTGGTTTATTAAATCCATGTCTTAAGCATTTACCTCACATTTTTGGCACGCCTTAGGCATATTCGTATCACTTTTTGAGAACGTCTAGAGGCAAGGAGCCATTGAAATTAAGGCATAACATAATGAGTAACGTGTCAATTTGGTACCTAGTATTTGATTTTGTCTCCGGTAGAGTTAAAGTACATAGACTTGCATCAGAATTCATAAAGTTCTTCAACTTGTTTATAGTGAAATAAAAAGTACACTAACTTGCAGCAGAGCCCATAAAGTACTATAAATATTTTCACACTGAAATTATAGTACGTTCGTCAAATATAGATGAACAACTTAGAAAAATTGATTCAATGATTTGTCAAGTTTAGTTTAAACTAGTTAAAAAATGAAAAAGGTGAAAAATATGAATCGTTAAATCCTCTCATAGTATTTTTTTTAACTTTTTTCGTTTTTTAATTAGTTTAAACTAAAAGATAACAAATCGTGAAATCATCATTCCTAAGTTATCCTATATTTGACAGATGTACCACAATTCCACATTGAAAACAAGTTGAAGTATTTCATAACTCTATTGCAAGTTAGGGGGTTTTGGAATTAATTCTGCTTCTACTTCTTTTTTAAAAGTAGAAATACAATCAGAATCAGTTTTCAAAAGTTGCCCTCCCCCATCTTCAAAAACCCTGCTTGTAGGAATATTTTAGAGCTCTCAGAAGTATTTTCACACTTTCACCCAAACACCCCAATATCTGCTTCTGGTCATGAAGGAGCAGAAGCAGTTTTAATGTACTCTTTATGCTGTCAAAGACAGGTTGAAGTACTATATGAGCTCCGTTGCAAATTCATGTACTCTTTACTCCACTGGATACAAACTCAAATATCAATTTGACACTTGACTCATAACATGATTGAGGTGAGTATATACATGAGGCGAGTATATACAGAAGGGTCAACGGGTTTAAGAGCCTGTTGGGTAAACCTTCTTATCAGCCTTATTTTCATCAGACATAAACTTATTTTACAGCTATGACATACGAATTATTTCAGCTAATAATATTGAAAATTTTTGTTGCTGCTGCTGAAATAGCTAAGTATAAATAAATTTACATTTCCATCATCATGTTAGATATTATTTCTTTGATTTTATCAAGATGCACTCCCATATCTTCCAAATGCACATATTTTTAGTAATCCAGTAAATTTAGCAAATTCAACAATTTCAACTACAACTTCAGCCACTTCAACCATTCTAGTGTCAATGTTGGACATGGAACACTCAAAATGTTACCATGCGTGTATGTGAATAAGTAAATGCGTTTATTTGTTTCTTCCCATCAACAGCTATCAAGTTGTGGAAAGTATGAGATTAGGCATGGAACCCAAAGTTGCTGCTCAAGACGCAATATCACGTATAGCGAGAAAATTCCCAGGCTTCATGGGGGCAGTGTTTGCTGTCAACAAGAATGGTGTTCATGCCGGTGCATGCTATGGATGGACATTTCAGTACTCTGTAATGAAACCTGGAATGGACGGTGTTTATGTCTTCACCGTTTACCCTGAAACCATGACTGTGTGACAAAGATGCCCCCAAGTCGCCAACTTCCCTTTTCAAGTATGCAATGTGGAATTCATTGCAGTTCCTTTGTTGTAATATTAATTTGCTAGGCTAGAAGAATTCCTCAATTCATATCAACAGAAACTAAAAACGATGTTGTTTAGAAGTTAATATTTTTTCTTGAAAGGGCTGAAAGGAAGATAAATGGCATATGGACTTCATTATATGACAGTCACTCCATCTTTTATACGAAGTAGGGCTGGACTCGGTTCGGCCCGGGCCCGGGCCGGGCCTAGGCCCGGTCGGGCCTCCGGTCCTATAAAGGGGGGCCCGGAACCGGCCCGTCCTTTGTCCGGTTCCGGTTCGGGCCGGGTCACCCGCCGGGCCCCGGGCCAGGCCACCCACCGGGTCGGGTCGGGCCTAGGTTATATATATATATATATATATATATATATATATATATATATTTATCTTTTTAATACAACTTAAATATGAAATACATTTTTCAAAAAATACTAATACAATAAATTGTAAGTTGTAAGTTTGTAACCAATTAATTAATTAATTTGAGAAGTGCTACATATAAAAAAAAGAATGTATATTTATTTGAAATATGAAATACAACTTTACAAATTACAATAGAGAATTGAAGGAAAAATTAAAACATGAAATACATTTTATAATAAATTGTAAAATACTAATCAATCGTAATCTCCGGCATAGGAGCCACCCTCGGTTGTTGATTCATCCATAAAGTCTTGGGAGGGGGTGATGCTAACTTTTTGACATCTACGTATGGCGGCCTTCAACCAATCGTGGTAGCATATAAGCGTCTCAAGAGACTCAGCGCTCAAACTCGTTCTAGATGCCGTTAGAACGTTGCCGGCCGAACTAAATTCTTGTTCCACGGCAACTGTTGAAACCGACATTGATAGCACTTGCTTAGCCATCCGTGCCAAAATCGGGAACATTCTTTCTTTTGACTTCCACTACTTTAGAACGTCAAACTCCTCATTTTCGTCAAATTCTACCTCATAATTTATATGCAAAGAAATCTCATTAAGTGCGCTTGTTCAGTAGTGTGAGTTGTTTTAGATTTTTTCATAAGTTTGCCGAAAGCAAATTTAAAAAGTGATTTTCCTTTAGATGAAGATGTGTGTGTGTGGGGAGGGGGTGCGTTGCCATATTGTGCATGAAACTCATTAAATAAAACATAAAATAAATTACTAACCTCGTTGTATTTAACTTGCGGATCTATGGCGTTATCATGATACATTGGAAATGGACCAAAAAAAGCATTATAATAGAACTTCAAACATTCTTCCAAATTACCAAGTCTATAACGAGGATCGAGAATAAATGCAATACTATAAATATGCGGAATATGTGCATAATATTTTAAAAACTTTTCCTTCATAATACCACAAAAATAACTCACGTAAGCGGCATTCTCAAATTCATTAAAAGCACCGGCGAGATTAACAACTTCACGAATAAATTCGTTTGAGATAGGTTTATAAACAGGACTAAAACTTTCATTTGCAAACCTCGATATTTGAATTTGATTCCCCTTCCCTTTGTCTATTTTCGCATACTCCACAGAGTGCGCGGACTTAAGATGCCTTTTGAGGCTCCCGTATCCGCCGGAAGTTCCCAAGCTATACTCCTTGCAATGATCGCAACTTGCGTACCATTTATCGGTTTTTGGGTCTTTCCTCTTTGTAAAATTATTTTCTATAATAGGAGATTTAGATTTCTTACCAACTTGGGATGGACCGCCCTCGTCCTCCAACTCTTGCTCATCATCCAGGGTGCCATGAGTCCCGTCGCCCCCTCGTCCTCCTCCGCATCGTCATCCTCGAGCTCCTCTTCATCAATGGACTCCGGGATGTTTTGTTGTTGGAAAAAGCGACCATCATTTTGCGCCAATAGTTGTTGTAGTTGCTCGTCGGACATCGCATCCCCATCTCGCCTTTGGTATCCGTCATCAAAATCTTCTCGACTTTGAGAAGAAGACCCGGCTCGCCCTTTACCTTTGCCTTTGCGTAAACTAGGATGACTTGTCACAATCTCCTTCCTTCGGTTGCGTTGGAGACTACCCACATCTACGGAATGTTTTGCACGGTCCATCTTTAAAATGTAACAAATATTATATGATATCAAATGTTTTAATATGAGTACAATAGTAATAATAAAATGCGACTAATAAAATTAACTACTTTTATTAGTTTTATACTTTAATGAAAAATGTAACCTTTTATTAGTTTTATACTTTAATGAAAAATGTAACAATTAACTAGTTTAATACTTGAATGAAAAATGTAACAATTAACTAGTTTTATACTTGAATGAAAAATGTAACAATTAACTAGTTTTATACTTTAATGAAAAATGTAACAATTAACTAGTTTTATACTTTAATGAAAAATGTAACAATTAACTAGTTTATACTTGAATGAAAAATGTAACAATTAACTAGTTTTATACTTTAATGAAAAATGTAACAATTAACTACTTTTATACTTTAATGAAAAATGTAAAAATTAACTAATACGATGAATTTAATTACTATGAATTCAAGTGTAACTAATATAATTGTATAACTAATATATAATATAATGTTTATAGTATATAATATATAAGTATATTACTAAAAGATGAGTAATACACTTATATATAATACTTTAATATATATAAGTAGATAATAGGTAGAGATTAAGTAGATAAGGAATATAAGTAATATAATATATGTATGTAAAGTAGATAATTAATAATTTAATATATAAGTAAATAACAATAAGTATAGATGATAAGTAGATATCAAAGTAAATATTAAGAAGATAATAAATATATATTAAGTAGATAATAAATATTATTAATATAATGTAGGTATACAAGTAGATAATTAATATATAAATAATAGATATATATGTAGAGAGGTTTGGAGAAGATGAAGATGGAGATGATTAAGATTTATGAGTATGAGGGAACAGAGAATTAGAGAGTAGGAAGAGTTGGAGAAGAGGTGTAAAAAAATGTATAGAAAATAGGAGTATAAATAGGTTTTTTTTATCCCCAACCCCCAAACCCCTGGCCCCCCCTCCCACCCCCTCCAACGGCTATAGAGCCGTTTAAGAGGTCTCCCAACGGCTAGATGCCCCCAAATAATTTTAATTTTTTTTTAAAAAAAAAAGAGCCGTTAGGCCCGAACCGGGCCCGGCCGGTTCGCCATTTGAAGGGCCCGAGACCGAACCGCTGGACTACTGGGCCGGCTTGACCCGAACCCCCCCCCCCCCCCCCCCGACCGGTTCCCGGGCGGGGCCGGTTCAAACAGTAACCGGGCCGGGCCGGTTCCAGGGCGGGCCGCCCGGCCCGAGTCCAGGCCTAATATGAAGTATATTATTTTTATTTCATCATCATCGTTACCCCGATGCCGCAAAGGCACCCACTTTACGTGGGGTAAGAGAGGTTGGATATACGTAGTCTTACTACCCCTGTACTAAAGCATAAAGAGACGGTTTCCGGATGACCCATGGTTAGTGTTGGACTCGGTGTGGGCCACCCGACCCGGGAACCGGCCCGGCCCGGCATTGTTTGGTCCCGGCCCGGCATTGTTTGGTCCCGGCCCGGCCCGGTTTAAGGATGAAACCGGGGCCGATTCTGGGTATGCTAAAATGTGAACCGGCCCGGCCGGGCCCGGTTCGGGCCTGTTTTTTTTTTGGTTTGGGCTGGGTTTAAATGGGTTGGGCTGGGTGTTTCTGATGGGTTTGGGCCTTTGGGGGATGGGGATGAAATAATCAAGAAAACAAAAAAAACGAAAAAAAAAATAGAATCGGACCCGGCCCGGACCGTAACCGGTCAACATCCGGGCCAGTCCCGGGCCCGGCCGGGCCTAGGCCCAGTCCGGCCCCGAACCGGCCCGAGTCCATGCCTACCCATGGTGCAAAGTCGTGTTGATAATTGCATGAATCGATGTTGCTTCATATAAAGAATCACAGACAATTTAATGAGTCATTTTGCTTTATTATTATAGTATTTGCCAAAAAATAATGAAGGGCTAGATAATCAAGGTTGTTAAAATCGTATTTTTGAATCGAATCGGTAGATGTTTTTAAAAATCGAATCGTAAAATCGAATCGCAAATCGTAAGATTTTACCAAACATATTTTAATAATTATAAAATAAATAAATATTAAAATTAAGTTGCAAGTTAATGATATTATATCATTTCATCACATAAAACTATACCTAAAATGTCAAAAGCAAGATTTATAAACTGTTTTTATAATGTAAATGTATTGAATAATAACATTAAACATATGTAAAACACAAAAATAATTAAGTAACACAAGAATCCATTACTTTTATAAATAAACGATTCATATTATTATTAATGGAATTATGTATCAATTTGTAGTTGTTAATTTTAATAAATTTGAACCATTTTCACCAAAAACAACTTATTACGATTTTGCTACGATTTTATACGATTCTACACGATTTTAGGACGATTTTTTACGATTTTGTACGATTTTATGAATGTACGATTTTACCTGCGATTTGAATCGCTTTATTAGTGTAGAATCGTAAAATCGTACGATTTTACGATTTAAATCGAGATTTTAACAACCATGTAGATAATTCAAACCATTCAATTATTTTGACCATCAAAATCCCCAAATACAGCTCATTTGATCAGTTTACTCAAGGCAGATGTATTAATTTTCAGTCTATAATTAGAGAGAAAAACAAATTCAAGCACGTGGAGGGATTATTATAAGCAACTAATCAAGGCATCTTTTTGTAATACGTAAGCTTTTAATAGACAGATGCGATGTGAAAGTGCCAGCCATCCAGTCGCAATACCAACCACCAGCCATACATTTGAATTACATTGCCAGAAGAAAATATAAAGACAAATTTCTGGATATTGAATGCACCAGCTCATTTTCTAGCAATAATGAAAGTGTAATTTGAAGATATTAGTACTCATGTCTGAAATAACATAATGTATACAGTCAGTTCTACTACACCTCTGATAAGTTTGACTAATAGATCAAACTATAGTCAACTACTACATGTTTGGCTAAAAGGGTCCATTTGACAGCATATGCACCAACTCTGCAACCTAAGATGGCTCCTTGGAGAAATCAGTGTCATCTTCTTCCTTCCTGGCATATTCTTCAAAAAGAAAAAAAAACTCATCTTGACAATATTTAGGCCTCTCCATT